TCTGGTGGAACCAGCGAGATCAGGCTGGTGTCCTCTCCTCAAACTGAGGGAAGGTGTTGCCCTCATCCAGCGACCAAGGAATTGTTTTCCGTACGGACGTCATGGTTCGAGGCAACGTGTTGTTTGTTATGATATTTGCTACAGCTGAGGTAGCAGCTGCAGAGTGATTGACAGCGCATCTGACCAACCAGAATTGACGTTCGCCGACGTCAGATTGTTTTGGTGGCCTGGCTAGTGGAGTGAAGTCGGCCTTTACTATTGGTCAGAACTACATATGGAATGAAAGGCAGCGCCACCACCGAGGCGTTTTTGACGCTTGTCGAGTGAAAGCCCGAGAGCCGCACGGAACCAGCCAAAGAGCCGCATGCGGCTCACGAGCCGCGGGTTGGCCACCCCTGCTCTAACTGTATCACATTCTACGAACCGACCTTTATTAAAACCGGCCTTTTATCAGACTTTTCATCCAGTTTGAAATATCCTCGAAATAGATCCATTTTTGTTTGCTTTTTACGAATACTTGCCAACAACAAAAATCTATATTCCATTCCCCCTTTGTTTTAAGGCCTCCTAAATGCAATGATCTATAGATTTTTAGCAGTTTTCATGGTGTCTGAACTGACTTTGGGTAGATCCCAGAGCCTCAAAGTTGGAGCAATGCTAGTTTCAGATTAGATAATAAGACCAAATACTCGTAATTCTTCTACCTGTATCACATCCTACTCCTAAAGCCAACTTTTAAGACCGGCCATTTATCAGTCTCTTCATTCAGTACGAAATATCCTCAAAAATAAATCCATTTTGAGTTTAAATTAGTTTGTTTACCGACTACTTGTCAACAATAAAAATCCACCATAAAGGCAATGATAGCAGTGTTCCCCAACCTTTTTGAGCCATGGCACCTTTCTCATTGTAAACGTTCACACGACACACCGCCAGTTGAAACTCATACAAAACTCAGACTGTGAAGCCTTCATTAAAACCACAAAGTAATTCTTATCAAAGTGTATTGTGCAGAAAATCAAACACACACAAAAAAGTCCTTCTAATCGTCTACATTATTTTCTTTTCACTTTATTTTGACAAAGTAGGTGGGATTGGACCATTTTCAAAGGCACACCAAACACCATTTCAAGGCACATCAACGCACCACGGCCCGCTGGTTGAAAAACACCAGTTTTCTTGGTGTCTGAAGTCACTTTGAGTAGATATTGGAGCCTCAGTGTTGGAGCAATGCTAGTTTCAGATTAGATAACAGACCGAATACTTGTCTCTTCATCTGCCTGTATCAAATCCTACGAACCAACCTTTCAGACCGGCCTTTTATCAGCCTTTTCATCCAGCTTGAAATATCCTCGAAGCAAATCCATTTTGTTTGACAATCTTCAAAATTGGAGTTAAAATGTGTTTGTTTACTGACAACTTGCCAACAACAAAAATCACTTCCATTCCCTTTTCTTGTAATACTCCATAAATGCAATGATCTACAGAGTTTTAGCAGTTTTCTTGGTGTCTGAACTGACTTTGGGTATGTCGTGGGTTACTTTAAAAAAAATACAGGCGAGCTCGGATTGCAGTGATTATTTGTGCTTTTATTTTCCCCAAAGTGCGTAAAAATTGGTACAGGCAGTGCAGAGCATATGTACAGTGAATTTAGCAGAAAAAAACAACAGGTCCACTCGGACACATAGGTCACCTTTAATGGCTCCAGGTAGTTACCTCCTCTGTAACCAGCGGCAGACTGACGGGTGCCAGACACGGCTCTCCTTTATAGTCCCCTTTGCTCCTCCCATTGAGCAAAATAAATTATTACAAATAGGACGTATAAACAGGGAATACATATATGGACCCATTCCCTATTGGTCCAACACAAAAACCTATACTCTACAATGAAACATTAGGCCATTATAAGTATATTTAATCTTGGGGACAATTCCCCACGCTCCCAGGGCACATTTAACCCGCCAGGAAGTATGGTCCTGGTTTGATCCTCGCGCACAGATGCAGAGGAGCACGACAGACCGGTACGTGTATGAATGTATGCTTAAATGTATTTCTAGCCCGCACAGTGTGCACCCCTGGGCGAACTAGTAACTGAGGGAAGAGAGGGACAAGAGTATGGATGATGCGTGTGGCTGTTAAGCATTAATGGAACGGAGGGAAAAAGGGGTGCGCGCGTTTGGAATGGCGTGTGTGTGTGCGTGCAGGTGCGCGTGTGGCGCATGCGGCACTAAAGTCAGCCTTTACTTTAAAACTACGTAACTACAGACGGACCCGCTCCGTCACATCATCCCTCCCCTCCGGAAGGTCGACACTGTGGGGCAACCTGGACAAGTAGTCCGCAACAATGTTCAGCTTACCGGCACGGTGTCGAATGGAGAACCGGAAGGGCTGTAGACCAAGGTACCACCTGGTCAAACGGCTGTTGTGATCCTTCATGGTTTGGATGTATGTTAAGGCACGGTGGTCGGTTTCTAGATCGAACTCTCGCCCCAGCAAATAGTAGCGTAAACTCTCCAACGCCCATTTGATGGCCAGACCCTCTTTTTCGATTGCAGAGTAGCGTGTCTCTCGTGGCTGGAGTTTCCGACTCAAGTAGAGTATTGGCCTCTCTTCTCCCGGCTCCCCTTGAGCCAGAACTGCTCCAAGGCCCACAGCGGAGGCATCCACTTGGACGAGAAAGCGCATGTTAAAGTCTGGACTTTTCAGCACAGGAGACGAACACAGGTGAGCTTTAAGGGTGGCAAAAGCCTTCTCACAGTCCTCGGTCCAGACTACTGGATTTCGCTGGTTCTTGGCCGTGAGTGCGGTGAGGGGAGCAGCGATGGTTGCGAATTGTGGCACAAACCTCCTGTACCATCCTGCCAACCCAAGGAAGGACCGGACTTCCTTCTTGGTGCGTGGCCTAGGAGACTGCAGGACCGCTTTGACCTTGTCCACTTGGGGCCGTACTTCTCCTCGACCCATCTGGTAGCCAAGATACCGAGTCTCCTGCCGAGCCCACTCACATTTAGCTGGATTTAGTGTCAGCCCAGCTTGCTCAATCTTCTTCAGGACGAGGGAAAGGTGCTGAACATGGTCACTCCAGGTCTCACTGAAGATAACCACATCATCGAGGTAGGCCGCGCTGCAATGCCCACACCCTTGAAGAACCCGGTCCATCAGACGTTGGAACGTGGCTGGGGCTCCATGCAGTCCAAACGGCATCACCGTAAACTGAAACAGTCCAGCAGGGGTTTGGAATGCGGTGCAGGGCCGTGATGACTTCTCGAGGGGCACCTGCCAATATCCTTTGCATAGATCCAAAGTGGTGATGTACTTAGCTGCCCCAATCTTCTCCAGCAAGTCATCAATTCTTGGCATTGGATATGCGTCAAATTCTGAAACAGAGTTCAGTTTCCGAAAATCAATACATATCCGGAGCGATCCATCCTTTTTAAAAACAATGACCACAGGGCTACTCCACTCTGAGTTGGAGGGTTCGATCACTCCAAGTTTCAGCATCTCCTGGATCTCATCCTGGAGCTTTCCGATGAGCTGCTGAGGCACACGGTAGGGCCGCTGTCGGATGGGTCTCCCGTCTTTCAGCCGAACGAGGTGCTCCACAATGGTGGTCTTGCCGGGAGTGGCACTGAAGAGGGACGAGACTTCCTTGAAGGTCTGGAACAGCTGGGCAGCTTGCTCAGGAGAGAGATGAGCCAGGATCGGGGTTGCAGCTTTTGTTAATCCCTCTAGTCCGACATCCGGAACATCATCTTCCTCGTCCGCTTCCTCCAGCTGTCTGACAAACAGAACCTTTGCCGTTGCTTTCTCAGGCCGTTCCCTCCACTCCTTTAGGAGGTTAACGTGGTAGGTCTGTTTGGGCCTTTTCTTTTCGGGGTGTAGGACTTCGTATGTGACTGGACCCATCTTGCGCAGCACAGCATACGGCCCCTGCCATTTTGTGAGCAGCTTATTGGTGGATGAGGGTAGAAGGAGTAATACCTTTTGACCTGGCTGGAACTCCCGACGGCGCGCTTGGCGGTCATACCAGGCTTTCTGGGACTTTTGAGCGTCTCGCAGGTTTTCCTCCGCTTCCTCCAAATACTTTGACAGTCTCTCTCGCATCTCTAAGACGAACTGCACGATGCTGCGGTCATTTTGTTTGGCTGAGGGACCCTCCCATTGTTTGCGGAGAAGGTCCAATGGCCCCTGAACATCCCAGCCATACAGCAGTTCGAATGGGGAAAATCCAGTTGACGCTTGTGGGACTTCCCGATAAGCAAACAAAACAAACGGAAGCCACCGATCCCAGTCTCTACCGGTGTCATCCACAAACTTTTGTAGCATGCGTTTGAGTGTCTGATTAAACCTCTCCACTAGTCCATCTGTTTGTGGGTGGTATGGGGTGGTACGAATAGGTTTGATCCCCAATTGCTGCTGGAAAAGGTGCATCAACCGGGACGTGAAGTTGGTGCCTTGATCCGTAAGAATCTCATCCGGTAATCCAACTCTTGAGAATAGCTGGACGAGAGCTCGAAGAACAGCCGGGGCAGTGATGGTTCTGAGCGGGAAGGCCTCAGGAAACCTGGTCGCATAGTCCGATATGACTAGGATGTACTGGTGGCCGCTGCTGCTCTTCACCAGTGGCCCCACAATGTCCATTGCGATCCTCCGGAAAGGAGTAGACACTACCGGTAGAGGCTGTAAACAAGCACGGTCAGATTTGCGCACAGAACATGTTTTCTGACAACTAGGACAGGTCGCGCAGTACGTTTGGATGTCTGCATACATTGAAGGCCAGAAAAAACGTGAGCTAATGCGCAAAAATGTCTTGTGGCGCCCCAAATGACCCGCCCATGGAACAGTGTGTGCTACGCGCATGACAAGAGTTCTGCAGCTAAGGGGAACAACCAGACGTTTACATTCATTACCCTCACTGTATAGCAACCCATTGTCAATGACAAACCTCTCCCGTCCCAGACAACTCTTTGTATCCTTGCCCACCTTAGCAAACAAACATTTCAATGTTTCATCTTTACGCTGTAACTCACCAACATTGTCAGGCACATTCCAACACAAAGGTAAAACATCTTCAGGACTAGCAGACCACATTTGTTTCTCAAACCGCCTCTGACGGCGGGACTTCTTGGGCCCCTTGGTGCCCCCCTCACACAGACTACTGTCCAAGTCCGGCAGAGGCTGGACACCCGTTTTTGCCTGAGCTCGGGTTAAAACAGGACATGCCATAGACATAGAACAGTTACTATTCCCCCCAGAGTCACTTTCCTCAGACACTTTTTCGTTCAACAGGTCCATGAGAACTGGTAAATCCCAACCGAGAATAGCATCCACTGGTAAGTTTTCAACCACACCCACACTCACAAGATAGGGCTGGTCTAAGGCAGTCACAGTCACATCCACAGTAGGATAGGGATGGCTATCCCCATGCACGCACTGAATATCCACAGTCTGGCTGTAATCCGTGCCGCTAACTGGAACTGAGCTACGTTTGATCAACGACATAAAGCTGCCAGTATCAAGCAATGCTGTAATCGCTTTGCCATTGATCAGTACAGTTTTATAACGTTGCACAGTACCTTCAGCTTCCATAGAGCTCACGGACTCTGGTCTTGGTGGATAACATGCCCCACTAAATTTTGCTTTGCGCACAGGGCACACGGATGCTTTGTGTCCTGGCTGCTGACAGTAAAAACAAACAAGATCCTTACCAGGTCCTCGTTGGTTTGGGGTAGAGCTGGTGGTACCTTGCCGATCTGGGTAGCTGTCCTGCCGGGGTGGTCTGGAGAGAAGCGGCTGAGCTGGCCCACGCTGAGCTGTAGTGCCGGTCCGGGCAGGTCCTCCTTTGCGCGCGTTGAGGTACTGCACGGCCAACTTTGCAGCGGTGAGTCCATCGCCGGGCTCGCGCTCCTTCACCCAGGTCCGCACCTCGAAGGGGAAAACTCGCAGCAGCTGCTCCATGATGATTGCCTCGCCGACCTCCTCCTTGGTCCGCTCCTCGGGCCGTATCCAGCGACGATAGAGACCTCTGAGACGATGATAGGTCTCCGTGGGGCTCTCTCCAGATGGTAGAGTAGAGGAGCGAAACTGCTGGCGGTAGGTCTCGGGTGAAATATCAAATTTTGCCAACAGGGCCTCCTTTAAGTCCCGGTAGCAGTGGGCTCTCTCCTCGTCCATGGCAGAGTACGCCTCCAGCGCCTTGCCGCTTAACAGAGGAACGAGTCGACACGCCCATTCATCTTCTGGCCATTTCCAGGTTTTTGCTATCCGTTCAAAACGCAACAGATAGTTCTCCATGTCCTCACCACTCTGGTATTGTGGTATCTTTGGCTCATTATAATGCCTCCAGTCACGTCTGGGTCGGTTTTCAGGGTTTAGAGCTTGGTGCCTTTGCTCCTCACCCTCATCACTCTCATCACCTCCCTGATGAATCCCTGCGTACTGCATTCGCTGGCCAGCAGGGGTCGGTAATCCAATCATTGGGCTCCTGTCGGACAGTGACAATGATGCCTGAGACTGGGCACGTGAAACGGGAAAGTGTGGAACCGGCCGATCTCTGGACAAAGGCGGTGGAGAAGACGGAGGGTTAGACTGAGCATTCCCCAGCCTCCGGAGTTCTACCAGCAACCCTTCTTCCCGGCGTTGCTGTCCAGCCAGAAACTCCCTCATTAACATCACCATATCCTGTCCAGGCTCCGAGAATGGCCCGGGTTTGACTTCCGGTTTCTCTTCCTCATCCTCGATTTCCCATGCTGCTCCAGCGCCCCCTGGCTGTTGCACATGGCTCTGAGACCGCAAACCTGTGCGCTTGGGTAAACGAACACTTTTCTAGCGGCTTGCCATCCCACTTCTGACACCATCTGTCGTGGGTTACTTTAAAAAAAATACAGGCGAGCTCGGATTGCAGTGATTATTTGTGCTTTTATTTTCCCCAAAGTGCGTAAAAATTGGTACAGGCAGTGCAGAGCATATGTACAGTGAATTTAGCAGAAAAAAACAACAGGTCCACTCGGACACATAGGTCACCTTTAATGGCTCCAGGTAGTTACCTCCTCTGTAACCAGCGGCAGACTGACGGGTGCCAGACACGGCTCTCCTTTATAGTCCCCTTTGCTCCTCCCATTGAGCAAAATAAATTATTACAAATAGGACGTATAAACAGGGAATACATATATGGACCCATTCCCTATTGGTCCAACACAAAAACCTATACTCTACAATGAAACATTAGGCCATTATAAGTATATTTAATCTTGGGGACAATTCCCCACGCTCCCAGGGCACATTTAACCCGCCAGGAAGTATGGTCCTGGTTTGATCCTCGCGCACAGATGCAGAGGAGCACGACAGACCGGTACGTGTATGAATGTATGCTTAAATGTATTTCTAGCCCGCACAGTGTGCACCCCTGGGCGAACTAGTAACTGAGGGAAGAGAGGGACAAGAGTATGGATGATGCGTGTGGCTGTTAAGCATTAATGGAACGGAGGGAAAAAGGGGTGCGCGCGTTTGGAATGGCGTGTGTGTGTGCGTGCAGGTGCGCGTGTGGCGCATGCGGCACTAAAGTCAGCCTTTACTTTAAAACTACGTAACTACAGACGGACCCGCTCCGTCACAGGGTAGATCACCAGAGCCTCAGTGTTGGAGCAATGCTAGTTTCAGATTAGATAATAAAACAGAATACCAGTATTTCGTGTATCTGTGTCACATCCTACAAACCAACTTCTAAACCGGCCTTTATCAGCCTTTTCATCCAGTATGTCCTTGAAGTAAATCCATTTTGTGTGAAAAATCTCAAACTTGGAGTTGAAATGAGTTTGTTTCGGCCGCAGTGACATTGGCGCTGATAGAAGTCCATGTGGTACGGTTTCTGTCAATAAAGAAATGTGTGGATATTTATCTGTATTTGTGCATTAAAGCATATTTTGTAAATTCATGATTTAATACCAACTCAAAACTCAAAACACAAGTGATTTCTTACTTGTGAATATGTTTTTTTTGTGCCTGCTCTTTCTTCTTTGAGAATAATAATTTCAGTAGTCAATAAACTGTTAATATTAAGTCACTGCTCACAGACATTAACATTAAGTTTAGTGAAAAAAAAATTGTCTTTTGAGTTTGTATTCTCCAAATCATGGGTGTCAAAGTCAAGGCCCGGGGGTCAGATTCGGCCCGCTAATGAATTATCTTGGCCCCTAGGATGATATCTGATTAGCACAATAACCGCCCACTCAGAGACATAAGAAAACATCGGATTATTCATTAAACATTATATAAAACACGGTCCACAGTGTATGGTCTTGGTTCAACAGGTTATATACAGCCAGTCCGGCCCTCGGCTTGTAGCAAATGTGTTTTTTTAGCCTCTGATGTAATTGACTTTGACATCCCTGCTCTAAATCATGAATTAACAAAACATTTTCATGCACAAATACAAATAATTAAGCACACATTTCATTATGACCTGCACGGCTTTATCGACAGCATCCGTAGCCCATAGAAGTCCTGCGCTGGAGTTTAAGAGGTGCTAGACGCTTCAGATGTGCACAATAAGAGCAGCGTGTCTGGTCTCTGCTGGTGTCATTCTTATTCCGATCATGCACAGCGGCTTCACACAGTATTAGTATGCAGCAGCAGCAGCAGCAGCAGCAGCAGCAGCAGCCGGAGCGGTGGGCAGGTCGCGCACAGGGTGAAGTGGACCAGGGGCCAGGGCAGCAGCAGCGCAGCCTGTCACTGTTCATTAGCAGGAGCACCGGCACAGGAGGGGAGGAGGGGGGAGGAGGGGGGAGGGAGGGGGAGGAGAGGGGAGGGGAGGGGGAGGAGGGGGGAGGCGGGTGGGCAAAAAGTTCTAAATACCACCACTTTGTAAGCAACAAGCAAACTCGAGGAAATCTAATCCCAGGTGCGGTATAGCTCGCTCGTTATGGCAAGGAGCATGCGTTTTTGGCTGATGTGTTTATTATTATCTATGTGGAGTATTTTATTATTATTATTTTTTTTCTGTTTCTTATTTTTCTTCTGTAAAGCGTCTTTGAGCGTCCAAAAAAGCGCAATACAAGTACGACGTATTATCATTATTATTATTATTATTATTATTATCTAGGGCTGTCAAACAATTACAATTTTTAATCGAGTTAATTACAGCTTTAAAATTAATTAATCACATTTCGAACTATCGGCAAAATGATGCCATTTTTTCTGTAAATGTTTGTTTGAATGGAAGGATAAATGATGACATTGTACATATGTAAGGTTTTTTTTATTATAACAATAAATCCACATAAAATGGCATTAACATTATTAACATTCTGTTTTTTTGTAGTAGACACTATTTTTTCATCTCAACATATTCCGCCGCTGCTAAAGCCTCCTCTTTCTTCTTCTTCTCTGTCTGTGGCTGTGCATGCTCTTCATTATCGTCTCTACAAACTAAACAGTGGTCCTGTGCGTGCGGCATTGGGTACATGGCCACGTACGGCTGCGCGTTCCCGTGCTGTTAAGCCGCTCACAGCTGCTGGACGCAGGAGCCGCTGTCCAAAGTGGCCGCAGCTGCCCCAGAACGCTGCGGACTCCCATTCACAGCAATTGCCCCGCGGTCACGCGCGCGGGGTGCCAGTTACTTTGCACATGCGTTAAAAGCGTTAATTTTTTTAACGCAATTAATGATTTTTTTTTTTATTAACGCACGTTAACGCGATAATTTTGACAGCCCTTTTATTATCATATGGTATAAGCGTTGTTATAGGGGTAAAAGCGCTGTAATTCTCTTTCCGGGTACACCCCCACCGTACCCGGAAAGAGAATTACCCAATGCTTTCTTTCCTTCTTTCCTCTCTAAAATGGCTTCACGCGATGGTCCAATAATTATGGTTTGAAAATTAGTTTAGCTATTGTTCATTTATCTTGTGCTCCTCATTCCTACTGTTCTGAAACGAGTGATGCAACACTGAACTTTCCCCGCTGTGAGACAAATAAAGGATCTCTTAATCTTATTCATAGTTTACTGTCGACTATGATAATAAGGATTAAACGCTTGCAGTTGTATACTTGATGTAAGCAAAAACAACCTGTGCTGCTCGACAGACACTAAACACTGGGCGTAAATTGTGCATTTAAGAGAATTAGCCCAAAGTGAGGCCTTGTTAGCGTTCTAAATGTGTTTGGAAGTCATTAACACCCACTTAATGTAGATAATGAACTGCTAAATAATGATAATGGGAAAGAGCAGTGGAGAGTTTCAACACGTGGCACATATACCTGCAGACGAGAGAGAGAGAGCGAGAGAGAGAGACTAGAGAGAGACTAGAGAGAGAGAGAGAGAGAGAGAGAGAGAGAGAGAGAGAGAGAGAGAGAGACTAAAGATGGAGGGGGAGAGAGAGGGAGGAGAGACCAGAGAGAAACTAAAGAAACTAAAGATGGAGGGGGAGAGAGAGAGAGACTAAAGATGGTGGGGGAGAGAGAGAGAGAGAGAGAGAGACTAAAGATGGTGGGGGAGAGAGAGAGAGAGAGAGAGAGAGACTAAAGATGGTGGGAGAGAGAGAGAGAGAGAGAGGGAGGAGAGACCAGAGAGAGAGAGAAACTAAAGATGGAGGGGAGAGAGAGAGAGAGAAGAGAGAGAGAGAGAGACTAAAGAGGGAAGAGGGAGGGGGAGAGAGAGAGAGAAGAGAGACTAAAGAGGGAGGGGGAGAGAGAGACTAAAGAGGGAGGGAGAGAGAGAGAGAGAGGAGAGAGAGAGAGAAAGACCAGAGAGAGAGAGAGAGAGAGAGAACGAGAGACTAAAGAGGGGCGTGTGGGGGGGGGGGGGGGGGGGGGGGGGGGGGGTTAGGGGGGGAGACTAAAGAGGGAGGGGGAGAGAGAGAGAAAGGCTAGAGAGAGATAGATAGAGAGGGAGAGAGTGAGAGAGACTAAAGAGGGAGAGAGAGGAAGAGAGAGAGAGAGAGAGAAAGAGAGAAAGAGAAAAATAGCAGAGAAAGAGAGAAAGGCAGAGATAGAGAAAAAATCTGAGAGAGAGGGAGAGAGAGAGAGGCTAGAGAGAGATTGGGGACAGGTAGAGAGAGACTATAGAGAGAGCAGGAGAAAGAAAGAGAGAGACTAGAGAGAGAGAGAGAGAGAGAGAGAGAGAGAGAGAGAGAGAGAGATACCTCTTCATATCATTAAGAGAAACTCGTCAGAGACTGAGCAGCATCTGTCGTCTCTGGTCCAGGCTGCGAGTCCATGATGTAAAAACCCACAGGTGTCGCCATGGTGACCAAACAGAAACACATCTCAATCTGTGCTGCAGAGATTTAGGCAAAGACACGGGTTTTTACTGATCAAACAGTTTAATCCATGGTTTAAAACGATGAAGATGTCTTTCCCAGAGATAAAACTAAAGGATTATGTTACTTATAGATTCAGATTCAGTTTTTATTTGCCTTTCACAGTAAAAACCACTTTGAGCTACATTTGCAAAAGTCCCCAGTGTAGTCAAAATATTTACATTCAACAATGATAATGAGAAATGAAAAAGATGAATTTACTAAAAATAACAGAAATTAGGCTTGTTTTTGCTTGATTATAGTTTGTATGATTTTTTTGCTAGTTTTAAGACACTTCATGATGTTATTAGAGAAAAAAAGTCAGAGCAGTGAGTTTTTCCAGAATTTCCAAACATTTTTTCTTCTTTTCAATAATATACATTTGTTATGCTATATTTTAAGAAAACAATTCTCAAAAATGTCTAAGAAATACGTAAATAATCCCTGAAATATATGTTTTTAAACTAGAATTGAGTCATTTGAGGCGAGTGTTCATTTCAGAAATCATAAGTTATATTCTTGTTGTATTGGCAGATGATATTTTTATTATTTTAAACAGTATTATCCATATTTTTCCCAGGCATTTCTCCCAGTGCATGCATTAAAAGTTTCAATCAAGACAAATCTACTGTACATCCTCATTGACAGGACACACCCACAAAGACATGGACCGAACTCCTAATGAAGTTAGAGCAAACGGCGGCCGGAGATGAACTTCCTGTCCCGTCTAATGTCGAGATATAATGACGTTGGTGAATATAAAATAAGATAAAATGACAGCCCGGCCCAGTATCTGAAGGTTGGCTGATGGAACGCCCCGCTCCCGTCATACATCACGGGGAGGAGATGGGAGTGAGCAGGAACTCCTCGTCCCACTGCTCGTGTTAGCTAGTTTTCTTGGCCACAGTGGCACCGCTAGCCGCAGGTATGGGCCCATAACGTGGAGAGATCTGTCACGTTAATCGCTCGCGGTGATCCGTCTGGAGAAACGGCGTGTTGGGCAGGGCCTTCGACAGCGCCCTGACTGATAGCTGAAGAAATGAGTGCATGTGTGGAGTGGCGCTGTGTAGATAATGGATCCAGGTCTAGATTAAGCAACGTCTATGTAGAAAATGAGCAGAGCGGTGGATAGATGACCCTTCACGGTGCGGACGCGTAAAACACAAATTGGCGAGCAAATCTCCGTGAGAAAATGTCAGTGACGAAAATAAAGCTCCCGGTCCAATAAGGCAGTGTTGATTTAAGAACTGAGCCTGCGAACTGCGGAATTAGTAAACAGACAGGCGAGAGATGTGCTTGTCAAAGATGGAGCCATTCTATATTTGGATTCTGCAAAAAGCGACGAAAAATAAGTAAAAAATTACTCAAATTTGGCAACATGTATCTTAATCTGACACATTCTGACTGAGACTTAAATAAGATTTGTCAAAGGGATCTTGTTTAATAAAAATACACTACATGTCTTCCCTGGATTGAGAAAATGAAGCAACAGTTTTTAAATGTCTTTGTCCCGTTGGAGAATCTGGTTTTAACACAGTCAGAATGTGTCAGATTAAGCCTTGTGCTACACTCGTGTCAAAAACACCAACCACAGTGATTTAAAAGTAGAAGAACTAGAAGAAAAATACCCTAAGCCTATAAGGGTTGAAATGACTAAAGTAAAAATCAGGAAAATGTAGATTAATATAATTTTTTAAGGGTATTTTTTCATCATTGCGGTGGGTCAATTTGAACCCAGGATAGTGCAAGGGTTAAGATGAAAACCACTCAACTCAAGCATTTATTACCTCATAATTCATAATTTTTTGCAGTGTACGTATATTTGTTCCAATGGAGAGTCTTGTTTAAGGAACCAATCAGAGCAAAAAGGCTCGTTATCTCATCATAAAACATATTGAGACATACTGAGAGGCTGAATGAGGGCTCTCTCTATAGATGTGGCAGAGGTTAAAGTTTCATATATATATCTGGTGGTGGGGATTGGCCTGGTGAGATTTACAGTCTATGGCAGGGGTGTCCAAACTTTATCGCACGAGGGCCACATTAGTTATCCAGACTTGTCAAAGAGCCGACAACCCTGATTGTAAAACTCTTTTGACTGGATTCAGGCTGTTTTAGGCTTTAAAATTTCTAAATCAAACCCTGTATATTGATTAGCACTATAGCTACATTAGCGCCCCATATGGGATGTTGCGACACAATCACAAACAAAAGTCAGTAAATACAAAAAAAGTTTCTTGATTTCAAAGGGACTCACAGCTTTACAACATACCATGACTACATTGGTGGAGCTTAAGTTGGCTGGATCATGACAGGAAAATCCATGCTAATCACAGCGCCTTGTTGCTTTGTGCTGGCGAGGCAGAGGGCCAAACAGAGTGACACAGTGGGCCGCATTTGGCTCTCGGGCCTTAGTTTGGACACGCCTGGTCTATGGGTAAGACATGGGTCGAAGGCAATGTTGCATGACTGTATGATGTCACAAGTAAGAACCAAACAAAACATTAAGTTTGCTGTCGGTAAAGATTACCGTAGGGCTTCTTTCACAATACAAGAATTAATAATAGATTTAAGTCGTAGCAGTTTATCCACCATTAGTAAGTAAGTAAGTAAGTAATTATTTATATACCGCCTTTTCACTGCAGAGCTGAGTCTCAAAGCGGTTTACAATTGTTATTTTTTTTGGGCACTTGTCTCTCACTCCACACAGAGATGGGAGCGGGGCCAGTACAGGAGGCGCATGCCAGAACTATTTTACATATTTTTAGCGGTAGGGGAAACCGGAGTACCCGGAGGAAACCTACGCATACACGGGGAGAACATGCAAACTCCACTCAGAAAGGCCCTGGTCCGACCGGGATTCGAACCCAGGACCTTCTTGCTGAGAGGCGAGAGTGCTATCCACTCAGCCACCGTGCCGCCCATTTTGGCCTGTGGTGATCTGCTAATCCTAGAAACCGTGAGAAATCTTGAGGCCGTCGTCTGTCCCTGTTTCCATCTGTACACACTGTATTCTACACTAGTTATAACAGACAGAACAGAATCTCCATGTGGCTGAGTGGATAGCAGTCTCGCCTCTCAGTAAGAAGGTTCGAATCCTGGGTACTCCGGTTTCCCCTACCACTGAAAACAATCCTCCTGCTCTGGTCCTGACCAAGCAGAGCATCAACATCTGGATATGGGTTCCAGGGCACTGTTACTACGGCGACCACTGCTCCTGACGTGAGCCTTAGCAGCATCAGGATGGGTCAAATGCAGAGGATTGAATTACCCTTCAGGGATTAATAAACTGCACCTTTTATTATATGCCACACTGTGTGTAATAAGCAATCATAACACAATTTCTGTCTCTACTCAAATGGAGAAAAGAATGACTGGTAAGTTTAGAAGCTAATTATCTGCCACTGACCATGTCTCTTTAATGCCTTTCCTTCTCACAAACGCAAGCTCCTCTCTGTCTCTGAGCTATATTGAGCGACAACGCCGCCCAGACATTACTATTCCCGGCACAGATCAAACAGGTTCCTACAGATAGGGAGAGACAGAGGAAGGCACTGAACTGCTAACCTTTGATTCTGCTCATGTGAGACGGTGCTTGTCATTCTGCTGCTGTTTGGAAACTGATAAGCCATCTCAATTATAACAAAAAATACCTGGAGAGGTGACGTGAGGCTTGACCTTTTGGGGTGGAAGCTACGACTCTGCAACACATGCCCTTATCAATCAAGCTGCGGTATTGTGTTGCTTTCTGACATTTGGAGACCCCGGGGGGCTTCACAAAGACCACAGCAAATTGTTTGTTTGCAAAGTGTTTGTGTGGTTTGTGCTGAAACTATGGATTATCAATAAATATATTTCAGGAAGTCCATCATGTGTCCGGATGACCATCACATCTAAAAACTACAAGAGCGTGTCTCTGGTTTGACTTTTGGAAGAAAAAAAAGAAGGAAATGCACTCAAACTTGTGTGTGAAAGTCTCCTGCTGTCAGACCTCAGAAGTTAAGCCTGGTTAGCACTGTGATGGGAGACCTCTGAGAACTCTGCGGCGGCTCTAAAGTTCTGAAGTTCTTGGGCGGCACGGTGGCTGAGTGGTTAGCACTCTCGCCTCTCAGCAAGAAGGTCCTCGGTTCGAATCCCGGTCGGACCAGGGCCTTTCTGAGTGGAAAGAAAGTGTCTGCGTAGGTTTCTAACCGGAGCCCCCAGAGGAAACCTACGCAGACACAGGGATAACATGCAAACTCCACTCAAAAAGACCCTGTTTCGACCTGGATTTGAACGTTCTTTCTGGGTTAAAACTGTATGCGCTAACCACTCAGCCACCTTGTCGCTGACATCGTGGTCACGGGCGTGACTCCCCAGGTCCGCCGCGAGGAACCCCTTTGGGCAGACATAATTCTTCCACACCGACAACTAGAATGATGGTCGTCCTGTTTAAGGTCAAGCTGCTCTGATGCTTATTCAAAACGACACTGAGCCTCTCTTTGGCTGAAGGCACCACCAACGTCTGTAAGTCTGTTAGATAAGCCTTTATTGTCACTTTAGGAAATGTGTTCTCCATTTGATTCCACAATTACCTCTGGATTTGACTGTCTCTGTGGGTTCCAATTATATCTCGGACCATCCACAGATTGATTTTTCTACATACATTTTTTTTTTTTTTTTTGATCTCTTAATAATGTCTGTATTTTTAAATGCTTCCAACACCTAATAGTGGCGTATTTAAGATAAGATGGAGAAATGTACATGTCACATCTGTCGTCTCTCAGGTTCTGCAGAAAGACAGGAAATGTTAAAAAGGTTAAAATTAGTGTCTTTTGTCATAATAACTACACCTTATTTAGGCTTAATAAATGTTGAATTAACACTTAATTAATCATGACCAATTCATTAATTACGTCTGAGCAACACTTAATAACTACTTAACCTTAACTAAAGCTCAGACGGTGTTAGCATTTAGCTTTAGCCTCTCCTCTTCTCCTCTGTGGACCCAAACAGGAGTGAAGTTAGACGCGACTAAGCCCTTCCACGTTTTCCCTTTCATATACAGTCACATGAGTCTTTACATGATGCAATGGTCAGGGCTAATATGTGGGTTTTCAAAGCGAATAAAAAGGGGAACTATATTGTCAGGCGTAATATCGTAGAATCAGAATCATTTTTATTGCCACGTAAGTAACAGGAAGTCAGAGTTGGAAATAGCTTTGGCTCAGTGCAATAGTCAGCGAGAGAGGTAAAGGTAGAGAGGCATAATAAAAAATAAAAAACACTTCGGAATAAATGTAAAATACAAATTTAAAATAGAGTTACAGTTACTATTTACAATATACAAGTGCACATGGTGCACACAATGTAAGGTGACAGCAGTACAGTGAAGTAAAGTGACGTATGATGGGCAGTAAAGTGACTTTATAAAGGGCGGGGGGACAGGTTAAGAAGTGTTCAAGAGTCCAACAGCAGAGGGGAAGAAACTGTTCTTGTGGCGGGAGGTTCTAGTACTGATGGACCGCAGCCTCCTGCCTGAGGGGAGTGGTTGGAATAGTCCATGTGCAGGTGAGAGGGGAGTGGTTGGAATAGTCCATGTGCAGGTGAGAGGGGAGTGGTTGGAATAGTCCATGTGCAGGTGAGAGGGGAGTGGTTGGAATAGTCCATGTGCAGGGAGAGAGGGGTCGGCTGTGATACCACCAGCCCGGCCTCGAGCTCGGGCGACGTTAAAGGAGCACTTTGATGTCCATGCAGTAAAGTGGAAGTGCTCCGAAGATATTACAACGCCTCACAAGTATTTAAGTAGTTATTAAGTGTTCGTCACACTTAATTAATGCATTGTTCATGATTAACTAAGTGTTAATAAGGTGTTTATAAGGTGTAGTTATTATAAAGTGTTACCATTGTGTTCAATAATATATCTTTTTTATGTACTGTAATTTTTTTATGATTTTAATCTTTTTTTTTTTTGTTCAGCTCTTGCCCTGTGTATGAATTGTGCTATACCTATAAACTTGCCTTGCCTGACCAATTAAAAGTGACTATACTGTAGCAGTGCAAGTATTTTCAGTCCTAGAGCAGGTCATTGAAGTGCCTTATTGTACAGTCTGACAGCGACGGGGATGAAGGCCATGTTGTTCCTTGTGATTGCAGGAGTCCTCATCCCACTCAGCTCCTCTCTATAATGTTCTTTCACAAACTACAGGTCACTTTAGAACTTTAATTCATCTTGTGCCACTTTAAAATCTACGTGCCCTATGTAGACTGCGTTTATCAGGGGTAATAGCCAAGGCAATCCCTCAAACAATGTGCCAATCTGACCCGAGTCTGACGAAGCATATTAAGAGCAGAGAAAAGGGCAAAGTCAACACTCACATGCCAAGAAGCAGTCCATGGTGAAAGAGATGTTGTCGATGGAGATCACTGAACCGACGCCAGGCCCGTCCTCGGCGCTGAACTGCAGCCAGAACCTGTCGCAAGCACAGAACACGCTTCATATTCAAGCAAAAAGAATGTACTGGGTAAAGAACCTACTCTGTATCGTGTCAAGGCTCATGTTTGTGTTTTAATTAGCAGCTCTAGTGCGGTCTGGGATATAATTATCAATCCTGGTGCCAAACTAAAATATTGTGTCCAATTTTAGTCGGTTGCTGCAATTTACCAATTGGCGTCAAAGATCAGAGCAGAGTCTAGGACAGAGACCAGGGCTAGGTCTAGGACAGAGACCAGGGCTAGGTCTAGGACAGAGACCAGGGCTAGGTCTAGGGCAGAGACCAGGGCTAGGTCTAGGACAGAGACCAGGGCTAAGTCTAGGACAGAGACCAGGGCTAAGTCTAGGACAGAGACCAGGGCTAAGTCTAGAGCAGAGACCAGGGCTAGGTCTAGGACAGAGACCAGGGCTAGGTCTAGGACAGAGACCAGGGATAGGTCTAGGACAGAGACCAGGGCTAAGTCTAGAACAGAGACCAGGGCTAGGTCTAGGACAGAGACCAGGGCTAGGTCTAGGACAGAGACCAGGGATAGGTCTAGGACAGAGACCAGGGCTAAGTCTAGAACAGAGACCAGGGCTAGGTCTAGGACAGAGACCAGAGCTGAGTCTAGGAGAGAGACCAGAGCTGAGTCTAGGACAGAGACCAGTGCTGAGTCTAGGAGAGAGACCAAAAATGAGTCTGGGCAGAGACCAGTTCTACACATACATGGTGCTGCACATACATGGTTCTACACATACATGATTCTAGACATACATGGTGCTGAGTCTAGGACAGAGACCAGTGCTGAGTCTAGGACAGAGACCAGAGCTGAGTCTAGGACAGAGACCAGAGCTGAGTCTAGGACAGAGACCAGAGCTGAGTCTAGGACAGAGACCAGAGCTGAGTCTAGGACAGAGACCAGAGCTGAGTCTAGGACAGAGACCAGAGCAGAGTCTAGGACAGAGACCAGAGCAGAGTCTAGGACAGAGACCAGAGCAGAGTCTAGGACAGAGACCAGAGCAGAGTCTAGGACAGAGACCAGAGCAGAGTCTAGGACAGAGACCAGAGCAGAGTCTAGGACAGAGACCAGAGCAGAGTCAAGGACAGAGACCAGAACTGAGTCTAGGACAGAGACCAGAACTGAGTCTAGGACAGAGACCAGAGCTGAGTCTAGGACAGAGACCAGAACTGAGTCTAGGACAGAGACCAGAGCTGAGTCTAGGACAGAGACCAGAGCTGAGTCTAGGACAGAGACCAGAGCAGAGTCTAGGACAGAGACCAGAGCAGAGTCTAGGACAGAGACCAGACCTGAGTCAAGGACAGAGACCAGAACTAGGTCTAGGATTATATCTATCTGTGTGAACAATGCTAATGTTTATGGTTATTTCTCAATTTCCACATGTTTAAATTAGCCTAAACTAAGCCTTAAAGTTCAGGGTTGGTCCCTTTGTTTTAACATTCGTGTGTGCATAGAGTACTTGATATATACTTTTAATTTTTTTCTGAATTTATAACTGCTAATACTGTACTCAGTGAATCGTCTGGATATTTTGTTTACAATTGTCACACACATTAGTAACGATTGAGACATTTATATAACCGTGACATTTTGTGTGCACCTTGATGCTAATTATTTTCCAGCTCTAAGAAACATATCTTTGCACTTTTACCTGTGTTTCTCTTCAGCCAGGAACTTTACAAAGGTCAGTGGGCTAACTCTGACAGGTCCACCCACTGCTCACGGTATAATTAAACCATGACTTTACCAGAAATAATACAACATCATTAATACATCACTCTCAAGACCATTAGATTATATATTCTCCAACTACCACAGCACAGGCGAAAAGAAAACTTAAATCGATGGAATGACAACCTACTCTGAGCAGTTTTCCTCTTTATAAAACAAAAGTAATACCCATACAAGAGTTTTGGTAATTCTTTGGCAACCACATGGGTGTGTTTTCAGCTGGCCTGGTACTATATCAAATTTTGAGAGAGAGAGAAAAAAAAAGATGGGCTTCAGCTTCCTCTTGTGGTATTATAGGGATATAAATGGCAGGTAGCACCATGTATGTGTAGAACCATGTATGTGTAGAACCATGTATGTGTAGTACCTTGTAAGTGTAGCATCATGTATGTGTGTGTAGCACCATGTATGTGTAGAACCATGTATGTGTAGAACCATGTATGTGTAGCACCATGTATGTGTAGAACCATGTATGTGTAGTACCATGTATGTGTAGCACCTTGTATGTGCAGCACCATGTATGTGTAGTACCATGTATGTGTAGTACCATGCATGCGTAGAACCATGTATGTGTAGAACCATGTATGTGTAGAACCATGTATGTGTAGAACCATGTATGTGTAGAACCATGTATGTGTAGCACCATGTATGTGTAGAACCATGTATGTGCAGCACCATGTACGTGTAGAACCATGTATGTGTAGAACCATGTATGTGTAGAACCATGTATGCCATCTTTCAGCCACAATAAGCAATACTACCTGTATCCAGTGTGTATTAGTACTGTAGTATTAGTACTGTAGTATTAGTACTGCAGTATTAGTACTGCAGTATTAGTACTGTAGTATTAGTACTGCAGTATTAGTACTGCAGTATTAGTACTGTAGTATTAGCTGTACCAGTCTGCCAGGCCGTAGAGGGGGATAGAGATGAGCTTCCAGCCGCTCTCCGATCTGGCTTCGCTGGCCGAGTGCCACAGTCTGCGCTGCTCCTCCGGTCCAGTGCTGTTCTCTACAATCCACAAGGACAGCGCCCCCTTCTGTAGACCGCCGGCACACACCCAAAAACGGACCTGCATCGAGAGCAAACACGTTACAAATCCTAATGCTTTGTGGATTTTTAGCAACAGTTGTAGTAAAACGTCTGTGCATCGTGGGACTTCACAACTCAGTCAATCAGCAGCAACCATCTGCTGCTCTGAATTATTCTTCATTTATTAGAATTCACAAACCAGCGTTTTTGCTGCGCCTGCTTCAGTACAAATCAATCCAATTCAGCGGCTTCTAGGACAGAAGTATAAAAAAGGATTGGGCAAAACACTCCATTCCAGGAATTAGACGGTGCAAGGAAGTGCATCAGAGACAGAGCTAACAAGCCGTGGATGAAACCCAGTCCCAGAGCAGAGCTTTACTGAATGGCCCGAGATTTCCCTCCCGCTTTAAGTGAAACCAACAGTGTCCAAACGAAATATCCGCATGGAACAGAAAACACAGTGAGCCAAGGCGGCTGCTTACCAATTATATTCAATTCATCTGTCGATACTGGGCCTTATCTCTCAGGCAGGCCCCACATGGTGACGACTAAAACAACACCAAGCTTTACATGCGCTCTTCTGTCCACGTTGGGCATCACATGAAAGGAACGCAACTCTACAGCAAATACCCAAAACTAATATCCTCCAAAACACAGCATCCAGGAAAGACAGAGCGCAGTGTGGAGAGCTGGATTTGGAGTTAATCTGGAATCGTGGATGGTCTTTGGCTGCGTGTCAAGGAGATGGAAGTACAGGTCTGGGATGGATTAGCCTCTGGAATGGCCGGTGTGTTTCTCTGTCTCTGCACCAAGAGTCTAGTGCTTGTTTTACATACGCTAAAACACAGAGGGAAATTAAAACAGGTTCAATTCCAAATGCAAAACCCTGCCCCGTCAATCATGTTCTGAAGTGCGTAACCTCTTCACCCTGCGCTCCAGCCGGCTCCGTGTGATGCCTTTTGAATAAAACATGGATTATGATTCCGCGCCAGGTCGAAGAACAGCAGTAAAGATTGAGGAGGTCAGCCTTCTCTGTAAGCACCGAGACACAGATGCAGTGCTTTGGCTGCGAGCTTCAGTCACAGCACTTTGGTTTTCTTCTTTCTTTTTCAGAGTAATTAGCACGTCAGCCTAACACTAGTGCTGACTAATGTTTGGACAAGTGCTGTCACAGGAAAGGAGATGATATGTTTGCAAGATAATGACTTGACATTTATCAGCTGAGTGGCATATTTTAATAATAATAATATTTTTTTGTTTTGCGCTTTTCAAAAACTCAGACGCTTCACACACACGTTTAGGCAGACACACAAAACAAAAAATCTAAAAGCAGGAAAGAAGAGTATAAAGTTGAAACTAAGAGTCACATGCTTGGAGGAAGAGGTGAGTTTTTTGCAGTTTTTTTTGAAGGAGTTTAGTGAGTCCGAGTTTCTGAGATGAGGGGGGAGAGAGTTCCAGAGAGTGGGAGCAGAGATGGCAAAAGCTCGGTCCCCCATGGTAATCATATGTCTTATAGTTATAAGAATGCACTAGACAGTTTTTTCATGCCAATATCCATCTCTGCACTTTCAATATCTGCGGATACCTAAATTCAGGAGCTAAAAATATCCTTTTATCACTGTCATATCCTAGCTAACCTTTTACAAAAATGGGTTAAAATGTGATTCAAAGGGTCAGATCCAATCCTTTCAATCTGCAAAAGGAGTTAACCCCTCCCACCTGGTCCTGGAGCTCAATGGAGCAAATCCAGACATTAGTACGAAATGAAAATTGTACGATGGTATGGCGAGACCAGGCTAGCGTCGTCAAGGACAAACTCTTAAATCCAGTGGGAGAAAAGTGAGAAACCTCGGGAAGACCCACATTGAGGGATCTGCTCCCACGGATGGATGGGCTATAGATCCAGAACTCAGGCTGTAGAACGAGGATCAAGGACACGCAATCCAGGACTCAGGCTGTAGAACGAGGATCAAGGACACGCAATCCAGGACTCAGGCTGTAGAACGAGGATCAAGGACACGCAATCCAGGACTCAGGCTGTAGAACGAGGATCAAGGACACGCAATCCAGGACTCAGGCTGTAGAACGAGGATCAAGGACACGCAATCCAGGACTCAGGCTATAGAACGAGGATCAAGGACACGCAATCCAGGACTCCGGCTGTAGAACGACTGTGACTATTTCAATGGTCTTCAATAACAATATGCATGGATACGTTTGTTACTTTTATACTCAGCAGCATTTATAGACTGTAGAGGATTGAGTACTTCAGCTAAGATCGGGCAATGTGAGTAGAGCATTGTTAGCGTCAGAGATCGTTGGAAGAGGCATAATGGAAATACCAACGCTTTCAGCTCACCTTGCAGGGAGAGTTTCTGAGCGGTGGAGTAAACATGGGGCTTCTCAGTAAGGCCGACCCCCGCTGTCCTTTGGTCTGACCACCCTCCACGCTGAATGTGCCACCTGAAGACAACCACAAAGAACCGAGAGTCATAAACTACACAGAAATACCAACCTGAGGAAGTTTCAGCAGTAAACGTCCCTTTGCTTCAGACTGGTAAGAGACCAAATAAGGCAGCTGTAATATCCATACTTCAGACAAGGATAGGGAAAACAGAAATGATCGGTTCTGAATGACTCACCACCTAATACCGACCATCCGCTGAGAGTATGTGCGCTCTAAGTTTGCTTTGACGAAATGTTTTTACTAATAGGCTGAATATAGAATTAAGCAAAGACTCAGCCATTTATTTACAGATGGTAAAAATCCCAAACTCCAACACCTTTGATATTGCTGCGGAGTGGAGTATCTAACAGTCTCAAGAGCTTCTTAAAATAGTTCAGAAAAACACATCAGCAGAGGGAGATTTTATCACTGGGTTTACAGGTGCAAATGTTTTAATCATAGACTAACCCTAACTCTTTGAAACTAATGTGCCATCACTTTTGTTTTCTGTGGGACTTTTTAAAAATGGCCATGGGGCAGGAAAATGTTAAATGTGGACTTTAGTCCACAGCGGCTAAACTAGACTGGGCCAAAAAAAAAGTGTTGGACCAAGAGCCACTTTTGGACCAAGAGCCACTTTTGGACCAAGAGCCACTTTTGGACCAAGATCCACTTTTGGACCAAGATCCACTTTTGGACCAAGATCCACTTTTGGATCAAGATCCACTTTTGGACCAAGATCCACTTTTGGACCAAGATCCACTTTTGGATCAAGATCCACTTTTGGACCAAGACCCACTTTTGGACCAAGATCCACTTTTGCACCAAGAACCACTTTTGGACCAAGACCCGCTTTTGGACCAAGAGCCACTTTTGGACCAAGAGCCACTTTTGGACCAAGACCCGCTTTTGGACCAAGACCCACTTTTGGACCAAGATCCACTTTTGGACCAAGATCCACTTTTGGACCATCCTGTAAAGCCGTTTTTGAGAGAAAAGAAGACGCCGTTCAAAAACATTGGGTAATTCTCTTTCCCGGTACACCCCCACCGGCAAGGAGCTCATGGACCTTTTGGAGCCGGGACCCGTTCCCACTGGTTTAAACAGACTAATTCCAGTAGATTTCAATAATTCAACTCCATGTCAATGGTTCATAGCTAATTTAAAGAACTAAATTCAGGGCAGTGGTGCAAATACGAATTTACACATTTATTTTTTACCCCCATCTAATTTATGAAAAAGGATTGCATAGAATCCATTTGGACCATCCAAGAGACTTTTTCACTTACAGTATGATGACACAAAGTGGAGAAAGTGCTCTGGGGGGAAGAGTGCTCTGTCATGGGAGTATATTTTGTTCTGCGGTGGATGAAAGTCTGACACCAGTTTTAGGCCTGGTTTTCATCCCTGTGTCCTGGAAATATGGAGGCAAAGCTCTTAACAGAATTCAAATATCAAAATATCAAACCAAGTCCAGCAAACTTAATTTAGCCGATATTTAGTGACGCAAACAGTCTCCAGAGTTGACCTCGTGTCCCTTTGTTATTACCTCTGTGCTCAGCCAAATCTTTGAACCCAATGTCAGACGGGTTGAGTACACCTTACATCATTCCATGCTCTAAAAATTGCTGTTTTTGAAAGACAGAATAATTATATGTAAAATTGACCTTTTATCAGCGACATTACAGCGGTTTAAACACCCTGCGGCTCCTATTTTTGTGAATATATAATAAGGGCCCATTATTTCTTATATTATCAGAAATGCCTATATCTTTGTCTGAAAACACTACACAGGTGAAGAAGCAAATCGATTAAGTATACAACATTTCTGGATAATAATAACTATCTGTAAATCTATTATTATATATTAATAATCTGGATATATGAGGGCTACATTCAAAGAGCATATCTCAAGCCTTTATAATTTGGAGGATTTTGGATTAATAATAAAAAATAATAATGATAATAAAAGTGATAAGAAAGACAATGATAATAATGATAATAATAATCATTATTATTCCTATTATTATTATTATTATGACAATAATAACAATGATCCTAATGATGATTATAATAAAAATAACAATAATAATAATGATATGTATGTTAAAATATAATAATAATAGCAATACTATACTCATGATATTTATAATGACAATAATAATTAAAAAATAATAATAATAACAATAATAATATAAATGTTAGTAATAATGACGATGACGATGATGAAGATGATAATAATGATATAACATAATAATAATAACAATAATCATAAGTTTGTGTAAGCTCTTAAATTGTACAGGGATTAGTCCAAGCTGGTTTTCTCAACGTTTCATCCTTCATCTAAAGAAGTTTCCCATGAAAAAGTTCTTTAGATGATAGACGAAACGTTGAGAAAACCTGCTAAGAAGTACAGATGACGGATGAGAAACCTTCCTTTGCTTTAAAACTCTGCAGAGTTATTTACATTATGAGACATTATTATCAACATTATTACGGTTTATCTGTAATGAGTCTGTCATATATTAGTTACATATTGTAAGTTACAGAAGTAAACTCTGGAACAATATTCTAATTTACATTAAAAGAAACCAATAAGGGACCTGATGAGGGGCAGATCTGTCTGGTGGCTTTGGCCGGACTCTGCAGTCGTCTCCAGGAGAAAGTGCGTCCCGGGATGGACTTCCACATGCACTCGTCTTCTTCAAAAGAGCAGTAGCTTCCATTGAGGAATCGCCCTGTGAATAAAAAGACACAGAAGACACAGAGCGGTGGGAATTAGTCCAAGGCTGCTTGATAAGAAGCAAGCGTGAAACGAGCGGACAGGCGTCGTGGGGGGTGCCTATAGGGGGCGCTGATGAGAGATGGGATTGAAGTGCAGAGGAGCTGGGAAAGGACATGGAGGGTGCACGGTCTGTGGTGTGCAGAGATCAAGGGGGCTGAGTGGCAGAGAGCACGGGGGTCTGAAGCCACGGAGACATGGGGGGTATCATTAATGTGGAGATACTGAGGAGAGAGGAGTGAGCAGCGGGGGGAGGGCACCCTGAGGTCTGTGCATTGGAAATCTGTAGATGGTTGGGGCTTGGCAAAAAAAAAAAAGTCTTGAAAAACACATCTCATGCACTTTGGGCTGCACGGTGGCTGAGTGGATAGCACTCTCGCCTCTCAGCAAGAAGGTCCTGGGTTCGAATCCCGGTCGGACCAGGGCCTTTCTGAGTGGAGTTTGCATGTTCTCCCCGTGTCTGCGTAGGTTTCCTCCAGGTACTCCGGTTTCCCCTACCACTAAAAATATGTCCAATAGTTCTGGCATGCGCCTCCTGTACTGGCCCCTCCCATCTCTGTGTGGAGTGAGAGACAAATGCCCCAAAAAAATTAACAATTGTAAACCGCTTTGAGACTCAGATCTGCAGTGAAAAGGCGGTATATAAATAAAGATTACTTACTTACTACTTACTTACTTTAAAACCACTGACATTGTAGAGCCATAAAATATAAATGTGTTTGTTCTACTCAGCGCTAAAGATGTAAAACAGAACCATGTGAACTATTTATCGACAGCACTCGCAACTCCGTCCAGCCGAGAGAGAAACAGACTTTTTTTCTCTCTTTGATTCATGTTACAGCAATATTCTCTCAATAGAAACGGGCGGCACAGTGCCTGAGTGGTTAGCAATCTCAACCTTTTCTGCAAGTCCTGGGTTTGAATCCCGGCCGGAACAGGGCCTTTCTGAGTCGAGTTTTCATGTTTTCCCTGTGTCTGTAGGTTTCCTCCGGGTGCTCCAGGATTTCCCCTACCACTAAAACATGTGCAATAGGTCTGGCATGTGCCTTCTGTACTGGAAACTCTGCTCTCTGTTTGGAGTGAGCTAAAAATTGTAAAGCGCTGTGTGACTCTGGTCTGTGACAAGCGCTATATAAGAAAAGGATAACTTACTTAAAACACACCTGGATTTATTATCGGAACAAACGTCTGCTTCTGTCTAATGCCACTTTCACGCAATTTCAGCTTCTTTGCATATAAAAAAATTGATAATAAAAATGCATTGGTTTTATATTTTTTCACACTCAAAGACACTTTGGTGATAAACTACTACTGTAGCCACAGCTGCCCTGGGGCACACTGACAGAAGCGAGGCAACCAGTCTGTGCCATTAGCCCCTCCCACCACCACCAACCATTCACACACACACCAGACTCATTCTAGGCAATGGGGGTGAAGTGTCTTGACTAAGGACACAATTGCAGTTTGGCACTTTACAGCCGCAGCCGCCCCACTGTGGCATTAGGTGTTCTCAGAGATGAAGTGTCTTGCCCAAGGACACAACGACAGCAGACATCAGTGGGAGTCGGTGGAAAAGGTCCCGTGGTGGGCTCAAACCCACGACCTTCAGGCTCAAAGGCCAATGCTCTACCAACTGAGCTACTGTTGCCACACATGTAAAAGCCACAGACACCTTCACTGTTTCATACTTTCAAACCGAGCTCTTAGAATAACCTATGAATATTCTTGCTCCTGTAAAAGCCATGTTCCAGCTTCTTCCCTCTGGCAGAAGATATCATTCTCTGAGACGCAGGACACCTCGTTTAGCTAACAGCTTCTTCTTAAACAGTTTAAACACAGCACTTTAATGATACTGTTTTAGTTGGTCAATTTCACAGTGACATTTAATCAATCTTGTTTATTTTTTTTCTGTACTTGTCTGGTGCACACTGGGGACTTTTTGCGGATGTATTCCAATGTGGTTTTACTGCAAATGGCAAATAAATCTGAATCTGCCACACGCAAGATAACATGGTCATTACTTCTTGGTCAATACTCGCATCATGAATCAAACCAAATGGGATATTCTGAAAGGAGATATTGTCTTGACGAAGTTTGGACACCCCGGTGTTATGATAATGGAGTCATGGCGGGGCTGAGGCGACCTGACGGGCACAGAGAAAGCTTTTACCGCACTTTCCTCATTCACAAACATCCACATGTGTCTCTTTAAATAAGAGCAAAACAAATACATTACTTTCTCTGAAGCCGGAGCGAAAAGTGGATCCTTTTTAAGTTTTCTTTTTGAATTTCATGTCCTTTCGCGTCTTATAATAATACAATGAGTCACTGTTTTGTTTCATAAAGCAACTATGGGTCACCGACTGTCGCTGTCAAACTGAAAAGCATGCGTTCAAAGTCATGTGCAATTACAAACGCACATGAAGGGTATGTGCAATGCATAGGATGTTTTACCACATTACTTCCAATGGGCCATTATCTTAAAACAGGCATGTCCAAACTCAATTAAGGCCATTTAACAGTGTCATCCAACCAACTTCAGCTCCACCAATAATGTCCAAATAAAATATTTATTTATTTTATATGGACACAACAGTTACATTGGACAGACCTAGCCTGGCCATACTCAGAGAGCGCGGAAGGCGGGTGTTGTAGGTCGGTGCCGGTGACGTCAAGAGTTTGCGCCGAACGGGCAGGTTGTAGTTTGACAATGAAGAAGAATGCGATAGTAAAGTAATACGGTCTGGCTCTATCAAGAAATTGAAGCCGGAGCAAGAGGAATGTTTAGCAAATGTAATCGCTGGTCAAGATTGTGGCGCTACTCCCCACGGGCTCCGTTAGCGGCAAAGGAGATGGCTAGGCTAAATGCTAAATGCTAACAACAGACTCGGGCTCATTACATACGTCACGGTAAACTCAGATCCAATGGTTTCAATCTGCAAAAGGAGTTAACCCCTCCCACCTGTTAACAGAGTCAATGGAGCAAATCCAGATCTTAGCACGAAATGTAATTTGTACTATGGTGTGGTACTACCAGGCTAGACAGACCAGATGCACTGCCTTTAGTGTCGGAGCAAGAGCAAGCTAATTTTCAACACTTGTCCATAGAAGGCTTTTAGGACACAAATGCACACATTTAAAATGTACAAATATAAAAGTAATTAACCATTAACCATGTGAACAACGTTGCTCCGATTTCAGAGTTTCAGACGTCTGATGAAGATGTTTAAGTCTGTTTGCAGTTTTAGGCTTTGGTGTTAGGCCTTTGAGAGCCTTGCCGTCTGACAGTCCGGAGAACAGCGGTGGAACATGATCACTTAAACATTTAAAAAACAATTTCAGTGTGCAAAAGCTTACAAAATGTAAAAAGTTTGTGTTTTTTAATGATGTCAATGATGCCACCTCAAAAACAGTCTCGGACCTTCTGGAATCCAGTGGTTGGCTCCATGGTTTTATATTGTCATTTGTTTTATGATTGTGTCACAACATTCCAAATAAAATGCAGCTGTGAATCAATGAGGATGTATTATGACCCGTTTCAGAATCCAGCTCAAATCCAGTTTTTAAATCCAGGACATCTGCCCCGGGTCAAGTCTGATGAACTAAAGTGGCCCGCCTACTAAAAAGTTTGGACGCCTAAAACCTTTTTTATTTCAAACTACAATTTATGCAGTTTGTTGCGACGTAACCGAATGTCAGTTGTCATATTTGTTTTTATTGTGCACTTCCAGCTGGTGCACGCACTCCCAGCATGCACTCTGTGACTCTATGACTTATGGAGTTGACTTTTTCTTTGTGAACTTGCATGTGAAGCATTTGTGTGTTTGCAAGTTGTGACCCATATAGGCCTCTAACTTCCAGGTTATGGTGAAAATACAGAACAAATAACCTTTTGCTTTTGGAGTTGACTTGGGCCCTAATCTGTCATCATTAAAGGTCCTATATCACGCTTTTCTTCATGTTTCACACTCAATCCTATACACATGTGTGATATTAATGTGTATGATACGCCACACAACAATCAAAGCTTGTGAGATTAGAGCCATCTCTTGTATAGAGGTGACGTCACCTCGACTCAAACGAGCTGATCCAGAGTCTGCTCCTCTGCCTGTGAGCCCGCCTCCCCCCGCCCGCACGGTGACGTAGCATCACGCTCTGAGTTGTTTATCACCGGTACTTAGTCATTTCATACATAAGAATAAACTTTTTCCAACAATGACAATCCGTCACATCGAGCCCTATGTCCTCGATGCACAATCAGACCCTAGTTATTTAGTTTACAGAAGTATATAGCGAGTTAGCGTCACTACTTACAGATCGAGGGGGTCCGAGTTACGTCTTTTACCGTGGGAATAACGTGTTTCCAGATCAGCCTTTGAGTAAGTCCAGTTCCATTGTCCCTGTAGTTCTGGAACAGTCTCAGTGAAGTGTCGCAGATGAACCGGTATTATAATAGATCCATGAGATGAACAGATGAAAAAAGTCGAGCCGCTTTCTTCCTCTTAGGGCCAAATAGTGTGTCACATATTTACACCCATAACACACTTCATTCAAGTTGACGTGATCCTAACACTTTTAGTTTCTGACAAAAGCATAAAAACAGCAGCTCTATGTGGTGTCCGCGAGACCAGACCACAGACGCTGGACTCGGGAGCCGGAGCCTGTGCGCTCTGATTCGCTGTTTTCATCCGTCAATCACCTCCGGCCGGCTTTTAATTTTTTTTTTTTTTTTTATATTTGTATTATTTTTGACAAAAAACAGCATACTAATTGTGTATTGTTTACCCCGTTTTGACAAAAGTATTTAACAACTATTTAAAATACAAAGAAAACGGGGTCATGCGCGTCATCAGTGTGGTTTTCGTTACTGAAGTGGACCCGAGCGTTTCTGTGCCTCACGCTGGAGAAGGAGACAGATTGTTCTCTTACAAAAGATTGACAGAATCAATGAATAAA